GTATAGAAGAAATGATCAGGAGGATGGTCAGAGGTTCCAAAATATCACAGATAAAAAAGTGTCCTCACTTCGCTCTACTTAGCAAAACTTTTTGAGAAAAAATGGCTCGTTTTCTTCTCTGATTTCTTTTCACTAAAAGAGTATTTCTTATCTTCCAGACATGGGCTGTCACGAGCGTGTTGTAAAACACGTGAAACTGCTTCCATTGAGACACTAACTTTTGAAGAAGTTTTGATTTCCGTACCCGTCTGGATAAAGTCGTATTATTTTCTCACGATACGGCGCTTATTTCGGTCGGATAGTAATTAGGGTTCTTCTGCGTCATAGGCAAGTCGGGTATTTTCGAAAAAATGAGGATAAAAAATTGTTGCTTTCTCAAACTGGATTTCCGTGATAATATTCAGATTCGCATTTGCATGTGTCACAATTTGTCTGTAGAGCCCTTTTCAAAAACATCTCCAAATTCTAGTTTTTGGGAAATTTGTAGGTGGAACTAAGATTATGCGTCGCAGTGTATGTATACCATAATCGACGTATAGAACACGTTTGCACTGAGCTTTTCCCTTTATTTTTCATTTACGCCCTCCATGGTGTTATCCACGGCTCGAACAGTATCGTGGCACCCTTTTTGAAATGATGATTTCTCTATTTTTATATTTGAGTTTATGTATACCTTCAGGCTGCCTCTGAAAAGGCTCAGGAAGCTGCACAAAACGTGAAGCAGATGATGGCTGAGAATCCGCCTCGCATTCAACTTGATGTCGAACTTGAAGCGCCTGTGATATTGCTTCCACAGCTGTCTGTCAGCCGCAACGTGATAGTGCTCGTGTTAGGTGTGCTGATCGACTTTGTTCTTTTTTTTTACTTTCGAGTGGTTTTTCGTGTGATCATGGAGCTGAAATCGCATACGTAGTAGTGGTGTAAGCAACACAATTTTAGGTAGACTCGTCGTTAACAACCAAATCACCGGAGATAAGAAGAATCCAAAATTAATACTCGACCGTATGGAAGTGAAGTTGTTGGATATGAAATTTGGAATGTCAGTTTCATCATTAAATTCCATCGATCGGCTTTTGGACCAGTCTTGTGAATGTGATTTTTCTACTATAATCGGTTTTAGTGGTTCCGTCGACGCAGATGCTACAAAACTACTAGGCACATGCGATATTCTGCAACCATTGTCTTTCAATGTCACAATTCACAGGTACGTGACTGTCGGACTTCTTTTATATCCAATCTTGCATTGTTTTATTCCGGAAAAATCTTATTAATGAAATTGATGATTTGTCATTCCTCTTGTTTTCAAAAGCTCATTCCACCTTGAAAGTCTGACTGTCGTCAGTTGAAGTAGTGCGAATCCTCACCGTTTTCCCCTGCTTGTGAGAAGGCGAAGGGACCAGGGATATGGAATTAGTACAGTGCACCATGAACCTGTTGTTTGGCCCCATACGAACCCCAGCATACGTTGAGCTTGTAATGTGCCTTTAGTATGAGGATATCGCTACGCTTCAGCCCGCCTCTAACAAAGGAGGTCTTTCAGGACAAGGTGCGCTTTTTGGAAATGTTTCAGGGCATGTATGGACCACAAAACCATGTTTCGTTTTCGCTGAACGGTTTTAGTAGTACCAAAAAAGTGGTGAATAATACTCTTGATGGTTCAATCCCCCGCGGCGACTAAATTTTGCAATCAAGGTTGGCGGCCACTTGTTGGCTTCAAAATGGTCCTGACGATGAATTTGACATCTGATTTTTGCACCAAACCGTAGGCGCCAACCCAAATGCAAAATTTAGTCGCCACGGGGGATCGAACCCTTAACAGTACCTTATGCTTCTTTTTTGGTACTGCTATAACCGTTCAGCGAAAATGAAACATGGTTTTGCGTTCCCTACATGCGTCCCTACAATATGCACAAAACCGTTTTGAAAAAGCGCACCTTGCCCTGAAAGACCTCCCTTGTGAGATGAAGCCTGTTGCAGCTGGTGTCAACCCTAGCACCATCCCAATCACGGCATTTTTGCGATTCTTTTTTTTGGGATCTCCGGTACCTCCCCACCCCAATCACCGTCACCTATTTAATGGGAATATCTCCCATATAAGTCCCCTCTCCTCATCACGGACCACCACACCACATTTATTCTCCAACGGCCTTATAGTGGGAGGTAGGGGGAGGTGTAAGTATGTCGCAACATCAACTGAAAA